TGGGGACTGAATCCACGGGCGGGGGTGTCACGCTGAGACATGGGCATCGGGGGTTGTTGCTGCTCGATCGAGGGCATGATCATGTTCTTGGGCCTCAACTGGGTGGTTGGGCTGACAATGATGCGAGCGGTGATGGGGTCGAACTTGTCCGAGGCATAACGAGCGGTAAAGGTGGCGAGCTTGGGGTCTTCAGGGAAGAGCTCGGCCATGCGCTTTTCCAGCTTGGTGACCTGGGCGAGCTCGCCGAACTGGCACTCGTATTTGTGGAAGTACTGATACAGAGCCTTGGTCTTGTGAACGAGTTCCGGCTTTTGAGTCAGTCGGTTGACGACGGTTTCGAAAAGGACACGGGCATTGGTGTGGTCATCCTTAGAATGAAGGTACTTGATGTTCTCGAGAGCAAAGTTCTCGTCCTCGGGGAACAGTTTGGCACCGCGGTCAAAGATCTTTCCTCCGGCGGGGTCCTTGTAAATGGTCCATTCTAGCTGAGCTACTGCCGCATAGACATCGCTGGTAAGACGGCCGCGCGCGCGAGCATCGTGGAAGGCCTTGCGCATTCCACCTAGTGGAGCGTTCAAGGCCCCCTTTCCTTGGATACGACGCATGGCGCGGATCAAGGCGATCCAAACGAAGGAGATCATTCGGGAAAGAAGTTGAGTTTGGGCGGCATAACCCTTTTGAATAGCTTCAATGGGCGCCTTCGGGATGCTATCTGCTGGACCATCGCCGTCATCGTTATTGGACTCTTGGGCAGCATTCATCTCCTGGAGCTTGGCAATCTGTGCGGCTTCCTTTTCCTTCAGGCTCTTAATCATGGCGTAAAGGGTATCCAGCACTTTGTTGTAGGGCGCCCGGACTGCCTCGCCGCGCGCGACCTTGGACTCGTCGTTCTCCTCAATAGGGTAGGTGGACTCGATGTGATCGGCATGTTTGAACGCGAGAAGCACACTTTCGGGGTTGGCTTCGATGCCGCGGATAAGGAACTCGACACCGTTGGCGTTGCCGTCCTTGACGAGGTTGTTCTCCCCGGTGGTAATGTTGTTGTCGAAACACCACTGAGCGGCGTCAACCCACATCTCGGGCCAGAAACGCAGGGCCATCAAGGCCTGGTTATAGACGTAGAGAATGCGTTTCTGGTAAAGACCCGGCTGGTCCTTGTCATCCTTGAGATCCAAGGGGTCCGACTTTTCCCAAGCAATCCACTTCTTCCAGATTTCGACCTGCTCCATAAACTCCTGGTCACCGTCAAAGCCGGGGGCGGGGGGAAGACGGGGTAGGTTGGTCCGGTTCAGTCCCCTGGTAATGTGCTCCAGCGCAGTATTAGCGCTCTTGGCTGACATGTAGGATGGTGACTTTTCGCTGAGATATTTCCTGCCCGTCAACTTGTTGAGGCCCATCTCGAACTGGTCATATTCCTTCCAGAGGGTGTTGACGTTGGAGATAGGCACACAGATGGCGCGCTGGTAGGCTTTCCTGAGCTGGTCCATCTTTTGCTGATCCTGCCATTGGTTTCCTCCGACCGTGCCAGGACCGAACTTGATGAACTGAATGTATTCTGCCCAGATCTTGCCAGAATCCTTATCCAGACCAATGTTTTCGATGACGAAATCGTAGGCCTGAGAAACAGTTTGGCGAGCCTTGCCACTGCTGTCGTTAAGATCATTGCGACGGCGGATGTAGTCCAGATATCGGGTCCAGAGGTTAACATTGGGTGTTGTCATGAGACATTTGCCGAAGATGCCCTCGGCTCGGGGAAAGTCATTGAGGCTGAGCTCAAGATCGAGATACTCGATCCAAATATCGGCCTGACTGTCGTTAGCTTCAACTGTTTCATGTGCCATGGATCTGCCGACTCACCGCTTGGGGAAAGATGGCAAGGAATCTCTCATAGACCTGTCTTGCACCATCAATGTCACTCCTGGACCTCATTTCCTTCATCAACTCCAACCAAGCATTCATCGCGCCCCGGGAGTCATCGCGGATCTGGTCTTCGTAGAAGGCTACTCTATCAGGAGCCGCCTGGGTCACGGGGGCAGGGGCGGCGGCAGGAGCAGGGGGACTCGGTGCTGCCGGAACAGCAGCTGTGGCTGCGCTTGGCTGGGGAGGCGCCTGTTGGGGCACAAGAGGTGCATTAGAAGTAGCGCCAGCATTGTCTTGGACGGTTAATGTGGTAGTAGTCTGGACAGCAGGAGAATGCGACTGAGGGGCAGCAGTGGCAGAGGCGGAAGCCGGAGCTGGAGCAGAGCCACCACTTGATGAAGCGCCAGAGCCCGCCTCTTTATTCGCAGCTTGTTGTTGTTCACCATCATCACCATCTTCATCCTCGTCGTCAGAGTCTCCCACTAAGAAGCCTCCAGCGGTCCGAGGTTTCTTGGCCACAGGGGCGGCAGGCTGGGGAGCGGTCTTTCCTCGTTTAGCAGGGGCAGAAGGTGGGGGAACAGAAGACGTGACGACATCGACAGACGCAGGATCGTAGTCGTCACCCACATCATCGGTGTTGCCATCTTGAGATGGGTTATCACCTAGGTCATTAGGGTTTGATTCAACGGAATATTCTGCTTCTTGATGTTCCGAGCTATGCTGAATATCTTGTTGCTCGCTTCCCTCAGCCTCCCCGTACTGTTCGCTGCCATCAGCCTCGCCGTAGTCCTCTTGCTCCTCCCACGAGGCAGCATTAATGGTTGTGGGGTCGTAGTCGTCGGACATTTTGTTTGGGTTCGAGGTGTCGCGGTTCAAGTCGGAATAAGTGGAAGCTCAGTTCTAAAAGGACAGCTTCTCGTGGAAGTGATCGGTTGGTCAAGGCGCGTCGATATTGGCAAGACGGGAAGGGAAGTCGGAATCAGTGCCGTGAACACAGGTGACTTATGTTTGCATATTGTTGCTACGGTAGATGTTGTTGCTGTAGCTGTAGATGAATCTGTAGCTGTTGTTGTAGCTATCGCGGTCGCAGGTCGTAGGGGCTGGAGGAGGTGAGGTCAAAGTCAAAGAGAGCTGAGAACCACTTGACTGGGCAAGACAAAGAATCCACCAGAAGAGGTAAAAAGAATTGATATTGCGCAGATGCTATTCCTTGTTTCAATATTGGTGCGCCGTATTCCAGACTCCGCGTGAAGGATGTTGAGTTGGGAGTCGGTGTGGGTGTTTGTTGTGTTGTTCGTTTTCTCGTCGAAAGATTGGATGCAGCAAAAGAAAGGTCAAAGTTGGAAAGCGGCCCAGACGTTGACCTCTGACCGTGCAGGGGAGCGTGAGCTGTGTGGCAGTTGCTGAAGTCACTGAAAGCAAAAGTCACGACGCTAGAGCACGATAGAAGTTCAATCGACAACGCTGAGTGGTCGGATGCTTCCCAAATATGGGTCTTGTTCTTTTTTCAAGCTTCAGAGGATCCACTCCAGCAGCAAACCATGAGGCTGAAGTGGCTGGGAGCTTGAAGTTATGTGGCTTCTTCGGGGTCTGGCCCGCTGCCAAGGCGTTTAATTGCCGGCGGCAACACTGCAAGTAGGAGACGCGTTCCTGTTCGTCCGCTTTCAATTTACGCGACTCACACCACTGCATATCCCGCCGTGTCAGGCACCAGCACGAAGCAGAAGACGGAAAGATACACCATGGAATAAGTAACGGGAGCATATCTTTTACTCCCCAATTTAGACCACTCATCTGTTAAGGTAATCAATCTTTCGATTGGTAAACATAACGAGTTCGTAAATACGTATCATCTGTAACAACAGCTCTCCCGCAGTGTGCAATGGAAGTTAGTGTGATAGGCGCCGACTGTCCCTCTTTCCATCTGCATTTCAATTCTTGTCCCACTCCGACTGGCCCATTTCCCCTCTCCCCTCGCATTCAGTCTGCATTGCAGTCTCCGTCCTGTCTCGCCTTGTTCCCCTCCTTGCATAAGCTGAACTTAATTAGACCACGCTCCACTTTCTTCTCCAATCTCCTCCACCAAAACAAACATCACCCTTCTACCCAAGACAAGCCCAGCAACCACTCTTGCCCCAAAACATCTTCCTTTTTTCAACTTTTCTCCCTTCTCCAGGGAGTCGTCTTTTCTTATTGCTGTATCATCACTTGATACATTACTTCTACCAACTATAAATACTTGCGCGACTAGAACAACACCACCACCACTACTTGCGACATCTTCACATCTTTGTCAGATTGCCTACGCGGCAACATCACCGTCAAGATGTCTGTCGTTTCGCTTCTCGGGGTCAATGTTATGAACAACCCCGCCAAGTTCACCGACAAGTATCTCTTCGAAATCACCTTTGAATGCCTCGAGCATCTCGAGAAGGGTATGCTTGTCCCTCTTCTCGCCACTCCTTCGCGTCAATCTTGTCGCTAACCGTCGCGTTCGCGTACCAGACCTCGAGTGGAAGCTCACCTACGTCGGCTCTGCCACCTCCGACAACTACGACCAGGAACTCGACTCCCTCCTCGTCGGCCCCATCCCCGTCGGCGTTAACAAGTTCATCTTCGAGGCCGAGCCTCCTGACACAAAGCGCATTCCCATCGACGAGCTTCTGGGCGTCACGGTGATTTTGTTGACGTGCGCCTACGACGGCCGCGAGTTTGTACGCGTTGGCTACTACGTTAATAACGAGTACGAAAGCGAGGAGCTCATCAACGACCCGCCCCCAAAGCCCGTCATCGAGAAGATTCGCCGTAACGTTCTGGCTGAGAAGCCCAGGGTTACGCGCTTTGCCATCAAGTGGTATGTTTTGCTCTGATACGATACTGAAGTTTTTGCATGGCTTGCCTGTGGTAGCGCGACAGCGCGCAACAACGTGGCGTGCTCCACTGCCCCTCCCTTTTGTCTTGGTTGCCTAGCAACACTCTTCGCCTTCCTATCTAGCACTACCTCTCCCTTTACCATACACCCATGCTAACAATTACAATCACAGGGACTCCGAGGCCTCTGCCCCTCCCGAATTCCCACCCGAGCAGCCTGAGGCCGATGAGGTCGCCGACGAAGAGGAATACGGCGCCGATGAACTTGCCGAACAAGCCAGCATTGCCGACCCCGCTGTCAACGGCAGCATGGAAGTTGAAGGCCAATTGAACGGCGCCATCGTCATCGAGGAAGACGAGATGTCCGAGGATGGCAGTGTTGACCTCGAGAACGAATCCGATGACGAGCTGGATGGAGACGCCGAGGGCGAGCTCGAACAAGGACAAGACGAGGACATTGAGATGGGCGACGAGATGGAGATTGATGACCATCCGAAACCGCAGGGTATGGCCATGGCTCAATAGAGTGGGGTCATGAAGGACGAGAACAAGGTCCCAGCCAGGAAACATCATCAAAGGCAAAGTTCTGAAAGAAAGGACCATTGGGCCATGATCTTGAATCCTTGAAGGAATGGCTCTGGAAGATAGGGTCATTGGACGACTCTGGTTTTGGGGCCATGAAGAGCGAAGGATGGGATACCAAGAGCTTTGGTGTCCTCAGGTCCAGAAATGCGGACTCGTGCAAGCGGATGGGAAAGCGCTGGGTCCTTCTACTCCCACTGGATAGTGTTTGTCTCTGTTTTAGCCCTGCATTTCAAGCCGGTCCCAAGGGCGGTTAGGAGTGGAAAGCTCATCAGCTGGACGAAACGGATGGCCAGAGATTTTGGTGTCGTGATGACTGCTCAGCTTCCCCTGTTTGGATGCGGGTAGTGGTTGGAGGATGACGAGTTATGTTTATTTTATTTCTTTGCTGTGTTGCTTGGTTGATCAGTGTTGGTTCTTGTTTTGCAAAATTTCAATCGTCGCTGGCTGCTGGTGCTGGTTGCGTGTTATCATACCCTACTATTAGAAAGGAAGAAAGAATATGGAAGAACGACAATGGAATGGGATCGGTTCATCTATACGTCTCCTAATGTTGCAATTTAATTTATCGTGATCTCTTGACGCTTGAGCGTCTCAATGTCTGAATGTCTGAATGTCTGACCATACCATTTAAAACGTCTGGATATTTGAATATCCGGATATCTGAATGTCTCAGTATCAGACTGTCGAGAATCTATGGCTGCCTTAAGCCTCCATCACGGTTGACTCTTTATTCATTTCCATTTCCATTTCCATTTCCTCAAGTCTTGTCTTTCGTTGCTTGAGGTCTCTATCATGACTTCTCTATAAGAATGTATTAGGTATAACTGCAAAACAACAAAGTT